AAAAAAACGTACACCAAAGCAGTGTTTCAGAAGCACTTTGAAGTGACCTAAGACACTTAATTGACCCTGAGAGTTTTGGAAAGATCACTTCAGTATCCTCCATTGCATAAACCTTATAGGTAAGGCTTGGGAGGGAGTGACTTCCAGTACTTTGAACTCTACTTGGAGAAAATTGTGGCTACAATGTGTACAAGAGAAGGATTTTGAAAGGTTTGGGGCTGACCCTGAGGAGCCTATGCCAGTTGTGGAAAGTATTGTGGCATTGGGGTATTCCATGGAGTTGGATGTGAGTTTCGAGGATGTGGAAGAGTTGTTGGAGGACCACGATGAAGAGCTAACCACTACAGAGCTGCAAGAGCTTCATCTGCAACAGACCACAGCTCAGGAAATTGCTTCAGAGGAGGAGGAGGAAGAGAGATGGAGGAAGGTGCCTTCTTCGAAGATTATGGAGATTTGTGCAATGTGGACAAAGGTACAAACATTTATGGATGAACTTCACCCTGACAAGGCTGTTGCCGGCCATGTTGGCAACATGTACAATGACATTGTTGTGTCCCATTTTAGGGAAGTTTTAAAGAAATGCTAGATACAGACCTCTCTGGAACACTTTTTTGAGTGACAGGGGTCCAGTGACTCTCAAGCTGATCTAGTGGCATTAAATAACAAAGAAGGGAAGTAACCCCAGAAAAGGACTTGGTACCTGAAGTCCTTATGAAGGGGGATTCCCCTTCCAAGCAGTGGTACACCTCCATCCTCTCCTGTCCTGTCTCATCACTCAATAAGTTTTCAATAAAGGTAAGTGTCATTTTAGTATTGTTTTATTCTGCATGTCTCATTGTTTTCTGTGTAGGGAAATGTATATTTCATATAAAAAAATTATTTTGTTTAATACTTTTGGGTGTCTGGAACAGATTAATTGGATTTACATTATTTCTTGTGGGGAAAATTAATTCGGAAGTCGTCAAATTTGGGTTTAGTCACTCTCTCTGGAACGGATTAATTATGAAAACCGGGGGTGCACTGTAATTTTGAAGAAAATATCATAGATGGATTAATGAAAATGTCTATGTTGACATAAAATAAGACATTTAATGTGCCCAAGAGTGATTATTATTACACAATAGAGAGATTTGCTCATGGAGAATGTAAACAGACCTTGTGGCGAGTGCTGTATTTGAAAGACTGCTCGCCATATAGAAAGTTTTGGTCATAATTTGAAATCGCTGTATTAGCGAAATGCTGTAAGGTGAAATGCTGTAAAGCGGGACCCTTCTGTACTGCTAAACCACTAACTACCTCTTGAAATATAAAAAATGATGTTCAGTTCGAACCAACTATGATATACTGTACAGTGGACCCCCACCTTACGATATTAATCCGTTCCTGAAAGCTCATTGCTTGCTGAAATTATCGTAAGGTGAATTAATTTTCCCCATAAGAAATAATGGAAATCAAATTAATCCGTTCCTGACACCCCAAAGTATGAAAAAAAAAAAAATTTTACCACATGAAATATTAATTTTAATACACACAAACTGACACTTACCTTTATTGAAGATCTGGTGATGATTGATGGGATGGGAGGAGGGGAGAATGTGGAAGTTGTTAATGTTTAGAAGGGGAATCCCCTTCCATTAGGACTTTAGGTAGCACGTCCTTTTCCGGGGTTACTTCCCTTCTTCTTTTAATGCCACTAGGACCAGCTTGAGAGTCATTGGACCTATGTCACACAACATATCTGTCCATAGAGGCCTGTACCTCCCGTTCCTTTATGATTTGTCTAAAGTGGTTCACAACATTGTCATTGTAATAGTCACCAGCATGGCTTGCAATAGCTGTGTGAGGGTGATTTTCATCCATGAAGGTTTGCACTTCAAGCCACTTTGCACACATTTCCTTAATCTTTGAAGTAGGCAACTTCTTCAATTTCTCTCTCCCCTCCTCTGAAGCAGTTTCCTCAGGTCTGGCTTCTTGCTGTTGAAGATGATCTTGCAGCTCATCAGTGGTTAGTTCTTCATTGTCCTCCTCTACCAACTCTTCCACATCCTCCCCACTAACCCCCAACCCCAAGGACTTCCCCAATGCCACAATTGATTCCACAACTGGCATACGCTTCTCAGGGTTAGCCCCTTTTGTCTACACATTCTGGCCACAGTTTCTTCCAAGCCAGAGTTCAAGGTCCTCTTAGTCACTTCCTCCCAAGCCGTACCTATAAGGTTTACAAAACTCAGGATACTAAAGTGATCTTTCCAAAACTCTCTTAGAGTCAATCGAGTGTCTGTGGTCACTACAAAGCACTTTTGAAGCATAGCTTTTGTGTAGAGTTTTTTGAAGTTTGAAATGACCTATTTGGCATTTTCTTCCAAAACAGGCCTGTTTCATCGCAATTAAACACTTGTTCAGGTTTCAGTTCTTCACTGTCTATGTAATCCTTGAATTCCTTCACAAATTTTTCAGCCGCTTTTTGGTCTGAACTGGCAGCCTCACAATGCCTTGTCACACTATGTATGCCACTACGATTCTTAAATCTCTCAAACCAACCTTTGCTGGCCTTAAATTCACTCACATCACCACTAGTTGCAGGCATTTTTCTAATTAAATCGTCATGCAACTTCCTAGCCTTTTCACATATGATCGCTTGAGAGATGCTATCTGTTTTTCGTTTATCCACACCAGTAACAGTCTCTCAACATCTTCGAGTACTTGCGATCTCTTATTCGAAAACAAAGTTGCGCCTTTTGCAAGAACAGCTTCCTTGATTGCCGTTTTCTTGTCCACAATAGTAGCGATGGTTGATTGGGGTTTGGTATACAACCTGGCCAGCTCCTAGACACGCAATCCACTTTCGTACTTAGCAATTAGCTCTTTCTTCATTTCCATAGTAATTTTCACCTTTTTTATCACACAGTTGGCACTAGAAGCTTTCTTGGGGCCCATGGTGATTTATTTTGCAGGTACAATCACTAAAAACGCTGTGATAATATGAAATGTTCCGATTGTATGCGTGGATGCTACCGCACTGGCTGGCTTGTAAACACTGGCACCCATGGGGCAGCTGAGGCATGCTCAGGCCACATGTGGACGCGTCTCGGACGAATCGCATGAGGTGAGGCAAAATTTTTGTGTTAAATGTATCGTATGGTGGATTTAACGTAAGGTGATGCCATCGTTTGGTGGGGGTCCACTGTATATGCCTAATATTAAGTAATCTGTTAGGCATAAGGTTTAGTATGCCCGAAGTGCCCCAGTATGATAGTGGCTTATTTGTATTTAGCAATAAAAATTGTAATTACACATTGTAAGCTATGCAAAGAAATAACATCCTTAATCCTTAACCCTTTCAGGGTTGGCAGGCCCTCTCCTAAACTTGTTCTCAGGGTTGGAAATTTTTTGAAAGAAAAAAAAAAATTATTTTTTCTTACGAAATGATAGATAATCTTTTCCCGATCATAATGACACAAAAAGTAAGAAATTTGATGGAAAACTTACGGAATTATGCTCTAGCGAAGTTAGTGGTCTCGACGATGTTTACGCATTGGTGATTTCACCCACTTTGAGCCCCATTTTCGGCCAATTCCAATGTACCAGTTGACAAAAATCATAACTATTTTGCTAAACTCCATTTTTTCTATCGAATGAGCACAAGAAACCACCCATTTACCGATTTCAATTATCCAATAAAGTGGTCAGAAATTGGCAAATTTGCCAATTTCACACAAATTTCAAAAGATGCCTATACTTTCATTATGTTCTGTATTATATCTTGTTTACTTATCATCTTTTTCATAAAATACACCTACCATCCGACTTATGACCTGCTCGACTTATGACCGTGTTTTTTATGCCAAATTTCTGGGAAATAAACAAGTGTTTGTGTTGTACACAATGTTTATCCTAAACCTTATAGTATAAAATACAGTACTAACAGCATAAAAAGTAAAGTAAAACATGAAATACCAAAATAAAACAATAAAATAAAGTCATTATAAAAATGTTATGTTGATATTCAGTAGTAAAGTTCGACTTACGACCATTTCGACTTACGACCGGTTTCGGAACCAAACTCAGTCGTAAGTCGGATGGTAGGTGTATATATTACTTATTACCAAGCATCTTTCTACACACAGTTCAGTTAAAGGCCCCCCATTTTAATTTACCCTTGGCATCCCAAGCTTACCTACTACTCCCTCCACAACAGATTTACCCATTTTAGAATATAGGTCCCCAACCAAGTACTCTCTTGGTTCAAAACTTCCCATGCACTCACTCAGCATCTCCCAAAATCTCTCTCTCTCCCCTCAACACTTCTCTCTTCTCCAAGTGCATAAACACTATAACCCACTTTTCACATCCAACCTTTGTTTTACTCCACATAATCCTTGAATTTATACATTTATATTCCCTCTTTTCCTGCGATAACTGATCCTTTCAACATTATTGCTACACCTTCCTTAGCTCTAACTCTTAGAAACCCCTGACCTAATCCCATTTATTTTTCCCCATTGAAACTCTCCTACCCCCATTCAGCTTTGTTTCAGCTAGAGCCAAGACATCCAGCTTCTTTTTTATTCATAGCATCCACAATCATATCTTATCATTTGCTCTACATCCACACACATTAAAAATCCCACTCATGGCTTATGGAAGAAAGATTCTTATTCCACTTACCCATGGATATGAAAGGAAAAGAAATAAAAACAAGAAATATAAAGATAGAATAAAAAAAAACTCAGGTGAGTGTGTATACATAAACATGTATATGCATGTGTAGTGTGACCTAAGTGTGAGTAAAAGTATCAAGATATACCTGTTATCTTGTGTGTGTCTATGATACAGATAAAAAAGACACTAGCATTCCTACCATCTTGTAAAACAAATACAGGACTCTGTCTTACACTCATTGGGCAGGACAGTAGTACTTCCCTGGGTGGTTACTGTCTACCAACCTACTACTTATATTATATTATATTATATTAAATATATTCCCTGTATAATTTCAGGTTGCTAGCAGATATTTGGCACAACTTAGAGATGAACACAAATGTCACAAGTTTGTGCAAGACATTGTGGCCAAAGAAGAAGAATTCAACCGTCTGGTTAAACAATATGCTGCTTAACTTACACCAGTCTAAAATTAAATTATGATTCCATTGTGGTATTTAAAAGTTTAGGCTTTTGATTTAAAGGTAGATTTATGTCTTGATTAAATTGTGGGATTTAATTAAATGTTTTAGTTTTCATGTTTAATTCCATAAGGATTATTTAAATTTTGGAAATTTATGAACATTGCCATTTTCATATCAGTAAACTTATTTCTGTAAATTTTGATGTTTTCTAATACCTTGCCAAACATGAAATACTATACAATATAGTGAACTCTCAATTTAAGGATGTGAGATGGAGAAATTGTGCTTTGATGCCAGTGAAGAACTCTTGCTTCAAGGAAGTGTAGATACCCTCTTCAGTCAATTTTCAGGGGCTCCTTACCATAGAAAATAACAAGGAACCTTTTCCATCTCGCTTCCCTCACCTGTCTCACACAACACCCAGCCACTTTCACATGCACAGAGACACTTGTAGTCATAATGCCATATCTCAAGGATAAACTACTAGAAATTGACAGGCCTTCCTTCAAATGCAGGAACATGCCAGGGTCCTCAACCAAATCAAAATGCAGAATACCTCATGTGCTTGACTATAACTATTACCTACCAACAGTATTCCAGCCTATTATCCCTCCCTACTGTTAAAGCTTTACCACCTGCACGTCCACTCAACATGGTACTACTGTTGACATCCACCACCACTTCATATGCAAATTCCTTCCCACTAGTATGTCTCTGCTACTAAAAAAAATGTAAAAACACTACAAAAACACAGTAAAAACCCAAGAACACTGCAGAAACACTAAGAACACTGTAAAACATTACAGTAACACTGCAAAATGGAAAAGCACTACAAGAAACTCCAGAGACATTGAAAAATGCTACGAAAACATGAAAAGCACTAAGAAAACACTAAAAACCTGCAAAAATGCTACAAAAACACTTAAAACATACAAATACACTTTAAAAACACCACAGTGACAAAAAACACTGGAAAAAGCATAGTAAAAACACTGCAAAAACAAAAACTGTAAAAGCACCCCCAAAACAAAGATTACAACAATGTATATACCACATCTAGGAAAATGGTAGGATGGATAATGAGAACTTTCAAAACTAGGGATGCCAAGCTAATGATGATTCTCTTCAAAATGTTTGTTCTCTCTCTAAGCTGGAATATTGCTGTACACTAATGGCCCCTTTCAAGGCAGGCAAAATTGCAGACATGGAGGATATGCAGAGAACCTTTACTGCATGCAGCTATATGACCTTACTGGATTTAGCACTTGATTTTAATTTTGATAATTTACTGCATGCATAAGTACCATTAAAGCACCTAAATTTCTGTGAACAGTTGAAGGCCCTTGACCTGTACTCCTTGGAACACATATGGGAAAGATACATAATAATATAGTACACTTGGAAAATCCTAGAGGAACTAGTCTCAAATCTACACACCAAAATCACTCTCTATGAAGGCAAAAGACTTGGCAGGCAGTGCAACATCCCCCAGTAAAAAACAGGGGTGCCATGTTTACACTAAGAGAACACAATAAGTGTCAGGGGCTCAAGACTGTTCAACTGCCTCCCATCATACATAAGGGGATTACCAATATACCCTTGGCTAACTTCAAGAGGGAGCTGGACAGGCACCTAAAGTCAATACCTGACCAGCTGGGCTGTAGTTCATACATCGGTCTATGTGCGGCCACCAGTAACAACCTGATTGATCAAACCCTGATACACAGGGAGACCTGGTCATGGATCTGGCTACAGGGGTGTTGGCCCTTGAAATCCCCCTTCCCACCAAGTAACACTACAAAAATTACTGCAGAATTACTTTAAAACCACTGTAAAAAACTGCAAAAACTCCACAAAACTGCAAGAATACTTAAAACTAAAAAAAAAAAAAAAAAAAAAAAAAAGTGAAAAAATCATAAAACACCACAAAACTAAAAACTGAAAAAAATACAAAAAATTGTAAAAAAAACTCCAAAAATACTGTAAAAGAAAACTGTGAAAATGCTAAAACCTTAAAACACTAAATAATGCATAAAAAACTAAAAACACTACAGGAAACTACAAGAACACTAAAAACTACAAAACAATGTAAAAACACAGTAAAACTGTGTAAAAACACTATGAAACTGTCACTGTGATTATCATACAGAATAGTGAAGCCAATCTTCCCTCAAAGGAGGTTCCTTGATGTTGGTGACCCTTGTGGGTTTAGCACTTAATTTTGATTGTAATAATTTGATGTTTGTGAGGGGCTCTTGATCTGAGGAATTTTGCCAATGCTCCAATACCTTGAATCAAGCCTGAATTCCTTCCATTTCCTGAGGCACTATGACCCCATTGGGTTTAGTGCTCACCCATGATTTTTTTTCGACAAGTCAGCAGTCTCCCACCGAGGCAGGGTGACCCAAAAACAAAGAAAATCCCCAGAATGAAAATACTTTCACCATCCTTCAACACTTTCACCTCACTCACACGTAATCACTGTCTTTGCAGAGGTGCCCAGATACAACAGTTTAGAAGCATATGTAAGGATATATAACATATCCCTCCAAACTGCCAATATCCTAAACCCCTCCTTTAAAGTGCAGGAATTGTACTTCCCATTTCCAGTACTCAAATCTGGCTATATAAAATTAACCGGTTTCTCTGAATCCCTTCACTGAATATTACCCTGCTCACACTCCAACAGCTCGTCAGGTCCCAAAAACTATTCGTCTCCATTCACTTCTATCTAACACGCTTACACATGCTCACTAGAAGTCCAAGCACCTCGCTCACAAAACCTTTACCCCCTCCCTTCAACCTTTTCTAGGATGACCCCTACCCTGCCTTCCTTCCTTTACAGCTTTATATGCTCTCCAACTCATTCTACTTTGATCCATTGTCTCGAAATGACCAAACCACCTCAACAACCTTTCTTCAGCCCTCTGACTAATACGTACTTTTAGTAACTCCACACCTCCTCCTAATTTCCACACTCTGAATTCTCTGCATAATATTTACACCACAGATTGCCCATAGACAGGACATCTCCACTGCCTCCAGCCACCTCCTTGCTGCAGCATTTGCAACTCAAGCTTCACACCTGTATAAGATTGTTGGTACCATTATACTTTCATACTTTCCCTTCTTTGCCTCCATGTATAACGTTTTTTGTCTCTACAGGTACCTCAACGCACCACTCACCTTTTTTCCTTCATCAGTTCTATTGTTAATCTCATCCTTCATAAACCCATTCACTGACAAGTCAACTCCCAAATAGTATCTGAAAACATTTGCTTCTTCCATATTCCTCCTCTCCAATGTGATATCCATTTTTTCTTTATCTAAATCATTTGATGCTCTCATCACCTTACTCTTATCTATGTTCACTTTCAACTTTCTATCTTTACACACCATCCAAAACTCATCAACTAACCTTGGCAATTTTTTTTTAGAATCTCCCATAAGCACAGTATTATCAGCAAAAAGTAACTGTGCCAACTCCAATTTTGTATTTGATTCCCCATAATTAATCCCACTCCTCTCCCCAACACCCTAGCATTTACTTCTTTTACAACCCCATCTATAAATATATTAAGCATGGTGACATTACACATCCCTGTCCAAGACCTACTTTCACTGGGAAGTAATCTCCCTCTCTCCTACACATCTTAACCTGAGTCTCACTATCCTCATAAAGACTCTACAGCATTTAGTAACTTACTACCTATTCCATATACTTGCAACATCTACCACATTGCTCCCCTATCCACTCTTATCATATGCCTTTTCTAAATCCATAAATGCAATGAAAACTTCCCTACTTTATCTAAATACTGTTCACATATATGCTTCAATGTAAACACTTGATCTACACATCCCCTACCCACTCTAAAGCCTCCTTGCTCATCTGCAATCCTACTCTCTGTCTTACCTCTAATTCTTTCAATAATAACCCTACCATACACTTTTCCTTGTATACTCCGTAAACCTTTTCCCCTATAACTTGTACAATCTCTTTTGTCCCCCTTCCCTTTATATATATCATGTTTCTATGTTATTAATATTGTTTATTATGTCACATTAGATGAATTGTGATATATAAATAAGCCATAGACATGATATTAGCGTCATATTGAAGTATAATAAACTAGCTTTCCTCTTGCCTCATATGCGTCTTCCATACACCAACTAGAGTCAATAAAGTTAAGTGTGATGTTAAATGTTTATTTATCCATTTTATTAGTGCTTTATATTTATTTGTCATTGTTTTCTGCATATATATCTATAATCTTTAAAAAAAATATTTTTTGTTAATACTTTTGGCTGTCTGAAACGGATTAATTGGATTTTCATTATTTCTTATGTGGAAAATTAATTTGGTTAAAAGCAAAATCGGTTAAAGGCTTGCTCTCTGGAATGGATTAATGCCATTACCTGAGGGTCCACTGTATATAAAAACATCATCTGTTGTTTCTCAGGTGCTGTATAATCAGTACGAGTTTAGAGCTTCCCAATGACTCTGAAGGTAAGTCTGTAATGCTGGATTATAAAAGACTGAACAGCTTGCCTTGTGAAACTTATGTATTGAGAGGATAACTTTGTTAATTACTGTAAAAAGTGTAGTAGCATCATAATTTTATACGTGTTTAAAGATTAATAAGTTTGTCATCTCACAAGAATGGAATAATGTGAATTTGTAAAATACTTTTTTCGTTAGATTTTGGACTACAGGTTCTCATTGACTTATAGTGGGGTTATGGTTCCACAAAACCATCAAAAATATTTTAAGTCAAATATGAATGATATGATAAATAAGTCAATAAATAACTACTGTCACTGAATAATAAACAAATAATTACTCTAAATACCAGTATTGAAAAGTCAGTAAATAAATACAAGTTATGGATGTGTTGCCTTCATATTAGGTAATTATCTCAAGTTTCACCTCCAAAGTAATTGTTGCCACACCATCGTATAGTTGAAATATCCTGAGTCGAATCATTGTACGTTGGGGCGCACCTGTAGTGTATAGTATTGTGATAAAAGAATAGCTGTTTATTGCAGGAATACTGCTCTAGTACATGTGTTTGAGGACACTTTCCATTTTATCACAGGAATTTTTTTTTGTATGTATTTCAAAGTTTAAGAGAATGATGTATTTACTGTTTGTGGTTCATGTATACGTATTTGTAAATGCTGTAGGGGTTATAC